CTTGCTGAACCCTTGGATGAAGGAGCTGCCCCGCTGCTGAGGTCCAGAGAGGTTCGGAGCCACTCAGGGGGCAGAGGGCCAGGGCAGCACCTGCAGGGTGCAGAGACATGCCACCTGCTATCCCCAGAGAGCGAACTCATGAATATTCAAACCAGCTGGAGCGTGAGGGAGCCAGCATGCTGCTGGGTGTCATTGGTGCATTCCTGTTTCCCAGTGACCGCAGAGGCAGCCTGGGAGTCAGACGTGGCTCAGGCAGGGAGAGGGAAGGGGCAGCCAGCCAGGGCCCGAGGTGAGTGTGTTTTCCTCTCCCCCTGCACAGGGGTCCCTGGGCGAGTAGGACACCCTGGGACTGAGATCTGCCTGGTGGCGATGCTCTAGTCCAGAAGGTTTACCATCCCGGTCTTGGTTTTCCTGTGTGCACACTGTGGGGGATGAGTCCTGTTTCTCCTTCATTCCCTGCAGGGTGCTGGTCCAGCCACACAGGAGGATTGCTGGGCCTGGCCCGGAGCCAGCCCTCGGCACAGATGGAGGCAATGTAGCTGGGGTAACCCAGAAGGGCAGGAACAGACGGGGTGGGCTAAGGAGAAGGGACCATCTGCCCTGCATGCCTGGGACTGTCACCACCATAGGAAGAGGAAGAAAGAGATCTGGGTTCTAGTCCTGTCTCTGATGCTGCTGCGCCGTGTGACCTTGAAGGTGGCCCTGCCCTCTCTGAGCCTCAGCCTCCCGGCTGTGCCATCTTCCACATGTGGCCTTGGACCTGGGACCGTCAGCTGCCTGTAAGCTCCTTCATGGGCCAGTGGGCACACACCTCGAAGAGGCCATGATTGGGACCCTGGGAGGGTAACAATAATGATAATACTAAGAATGGTGGCAGCCTGTGCTCAGTGAGTGTCTGCTCTGTGCCAGCCCCATGCTGGGCACTTTCCTTGTGGGGTGCAGAGGATCCGCACAGCGCCCCGTGATGGAGGGAAAGTTGCTATCATCATTTTGGAAGAGAAATTGAGGCCCAGAGAGGGGTACAGCCTTGCGTAGGGCACACAGCAAGGAAGTAGCAGAGCTGGGATTCAAACCAGGGACCCTGGTCCCAAGGTGCTGGCCCCGTGTGGCTTCCACATGTGTGACTCAACACGTAGCTCTCACACGTATTATTGGCCATGGCCTCGTTCTTCCCTAAGGCTTATGGAGGGTCATTCGTCAAACATTCACCAGGTGCCAGGCTCAGAGAGCTCAGGGGTGAGTCACCAGAGGCTTGCCTGCAGCTGGGCATGGAAGGAGTCCCTCGTCCCACAAGCATGGGCCTGTGCACTGGGACTGGGCCCTGGTCAATAGCAAGAATAATAATTAGTATGTATTGATCTCCACCTGTGTACGTGCATTCTCTCATTCAGATCTCACGGCCTCATGACTATTTTCCCTGTAGCTGGACTCCTGGCTGTGGCCTCTGTCTATCCAGGGGCTCTGCCTGTGATCACAAAGGGCCCTGTCTGCCCCAGTCTTACTGCTGTGTGGCCATTGAGTACGTGTGGAGACTGAAGTTCAGAGAGGGTGAGCAACATGCCCAAGTTCCCGGAGGCCAGGCAGGAAGGGACCCACCAGCCTTGGATGCCCCAGGCTGCCAGCACAGGATGCCCAGGAGGCCGCTCAGCTTCGCTGCCCCCATCCTGGCTGCCCAGCCCGCAGAGGCCAGCCCCTGCTGTGCTCCTGAGACCGAGCTCCGCATCCACAGCTCCGCCTTCTGTGATGGGGAGGCACACGCCCTCCTTCCCCCAGCTCGGGGTGGGGCTTGGGACACGCCAGGCAGGGGCTGCCATCAACAAAGCCGAAAGCTGCTCTTTGGAGGCTGGCAGACCTGGACTCAAATCCCAGCCCTGCCCCCTGCCTTGCTGAGTGACCTTGGACAAGTCATGTTACCTCTCAGAGCCTCAGTTTCCCCCTCTGCAAAATGGAGGTGACAGTGGGGTCTGCTTCCCAGGATAGCTGAGCAGAGTCAGTGAGATGTTCTGGAGAAGCAACCCCCGCCCTCTGCCCAGGGCTCATAGTAGGGCCTCAAAAATGACGCCTGAGGGTGAGACAGCCCAGGGCCTGGCACAGTTTTAGGAAGCCCAGGTGGGAGAATGAATGAATGAATGAATGAATGAATGAATGAAGCAGTGAGGGAGGGGGAGGGGCATCCTGGGCAGGGCTGGGTGGAGCCTGATTGGTGGTTCTGGGAGGCCGGTCTGCCCCCTGCTGCCTGGCCTCCACCCCAGAGCCTGCGCCATCAGCCCTTAGAGTTCCGGAAAGTACCCTGGTGAGTGGAGCTGCTGGGGCCTGGGTGGGCCCTGGGATTTGCGGAGGGTAGGAATCCTAACCCCTCCCCATTTTGAAATCAGAGAAACTGATTTTAAACCCACTGATTTTAATCCACTCAGGGTTTGGGCCCAAATCTGCGGCTCTGGCCTGGCCCAGGGCTCTGCCCTGTTTCCTGCTGGGCCCCTGGGGAGCAGGAGGCCGGTGGGACAGGTTTGTGCTTGATGGGGGGCCCTGCGGCCACTCCTTTTTCAGGGGGGCCCAACCTCAGGGTGACAAAGACAGAAGCTGGGAGCAGTTCCCCCAGGGGCTCAGAAGGGGGCAGCTAACACTCTCTGAGTGATAACTCGGTGCTAGTCGCTTTGCCAGCCTGTCTCAGGAAGAGCCAGCGAGGGGGGCTCCCCGCTGCCCCGTTTTACAGATGAGAAACTGAGGCTTCAAGGGGTTCCTGTGTTTGAAACACAGGCCTGTGGCTTCCAGAGCCTGAGATGGGTGGGCACCTCGTCCACGTCGGGCCCCTCCATGACCAGCCTGTGGCTGGCAGGCTTATGCCACCTCATAAGCTTTATGATCTATTATTTAAATATATTAAATTCATTTTATTGGGGCCAGCCCAGTGGCGCAGTGGTTAAGTGCGCACGTTCCACTTCGGTGGCCCAGGATTCACCGGTTGAGATCCTGAGTGTGGACATGGCACCACTTGGCATGCCATGCTGTGGCAGGCATCCCACATATAAAGTAGAGGAAGTTGGGCACGGATGTAAGCTCAGGGCCAGTCTTCCTCAGCAAAAAGAGGAGGATTGGCAGCAGTTAGCTCAGGGCTAATCTTCCTCAAAAAAAAAATTCATTTTATTGCCTTTTTCTCATTAAAAAAAAAAGACATCATTACAGAAATGCATAATATGGGAAAATATTCCCTGGATATCTCTCCCCCAGCTATGCAGAGGATACCACTGTTAAAATTTAGGATACTGCCCTCCAGTATCCTAAATATATATGGATTTGGGGGCATGGTGTTCTGGAACTTTCTTTTTTCACATTAACAGGTCACAGTGGGGTTTTGAGCCAGTCCACTTGGCTCCGCCTTGTTCTTTTGAATGGGTACAGGTGACTCCATCCGGGAATGGGCCTTGGTTTGTTGTGACGGTCCCCCGCTGAGGGTCACTGAGGATGTTTCTAATTGTTTTCTATTTCTGACCACAGTGCCCTGCACACCCTTGAATGTGTGACTTTGCCCACGAGTTTCCGCAGGATAGTTGGAATTCGGAGAGCTCGTGCCTTCCTCCTTTGATAGAACCGCCCTCCGGAAATTCCCCCACATTCTCGTCCACTGCCATCCTGTTCACCTTGCCCACCTGAGTGAACGAGGCTATGTCATTGTCACGAGGGAGGCCGAATTCCCTTTTGTAGACTTTCTTCCTCTGCAAATTGCTTCTTCATGTCCTTTCCTAGGAGGAGAAATTTCCGGATGATGAGCAGAGGACTCAGGGCCTGGTGCTGGCTGGCGGTGTGGGCCTGCAGTTCTCTGGGCAGGGTTTGTGGGTCCTGGGATAGCTTTTCCAGGGGGAACTATGTGCGCCCCTCCTCCAGGCAGGCTGTTGGGCCTCTGCCCCCAGGGAGAGTGGTGACGTGCTATGCGTGTGGTCAGGGGCGCAGCATGCGTGACCTCTCGTGGCCTCAGGGGCCAATGCAGCTTGTGCTGGAACAGGAGTGGAAAGTTTGGTGCCTTCACTTGGCAGCCAAGGGGAGGTGGGAAGGCCCCCTGGGCCCCTGCTCTCCTCTGGACCCCATCCCTTAGCATCAACTGCCCCCATTTCAGCTCATCCTCCCCTGCTGATAGGGGACCAAAAGACTCCCCCCACACCAAAAACAAACAAAAAACCACGATAGCCTGTTAAATTTGATTTTCAGATAAACATTGAATAATTTTTACTATAAGTATGTCCCGTGCAATATTTGGGACATACTTATACTAAAAAAAAAAAAATGTATTTGTTGTTTATCTGAAATTCAGATTTCGCTGGGCAGCCCTGCCTGCTGGCGATGGGCAAGGTGGGTGTGGGTGGAGGCCTGGCCGGCAGTGCGACCTGAGCCCTCTCCTTTCTCATTTGGAGTCTCAGTTTCTCCCTCTGCCTCCCCTACAGACCCAGGGGCACAGGGGCCAGTGAAGAGAGACAAGGAGCCTCGGCCCCTCCCTGGGCAGCTGGGAAGGGTGGCACAGGGGATGGGTGGGACTGGCTGGGTCTTCTGAAAGTTGAGGGATTCAGGACCTGGGGAGCCCCTCCCTGTAGACCACCCTAGCCCCAGGCCTGGGGAGACAGGACACTGGGAGAGGGTCTTCTTTTCCTTCTTAGGAAATGATTTCATTATGAAGCCCGAATACGTATGAAAAATAAACTAATGAATACCCACATACCCACCCCACCAGTCAGCTCAAAAATTAAAACTGAGTCAGGCGGTAGACCCTTCTCCCTGCCCCACTCCCTAACTCTGTGTTGGCTTCACCCAGCGTCTCTGTCTGTAACCCTGTCGCTGTGTCTCTCCACGTGTTTGTCTCTCTGTCCCTGTCTGGACCTTGCTGGGTGGCCACAGGGCTGAGAAGGCAGGTCCTAATATTGAAGGCGGCCCCTCAACCCAGCCAGGCCTGGGGCAGCAGCGGGGGCTCCCTGGGGCCGGCCTCCATCTGTCCCGCTCTGTGTCCCCCGCAGGTGTCTGAGATGCCGCTGCCGCAGAAGAAGCGCTGGGAGTCCATGGCCAAGGGGCTGGTGCTGGGAGCGCTCTTCACCAGCTTCCTACTGCTGCTCTACTCCTACGCCGTGCCCCCGCTGCACACTGGCCTGGCCTCTGCGTGAGTGGCCCACCTGGGCAGCTGGTGGGTGGTGGTGAGGGGACACCCTGCCACCCTGCGCCCCACATCATGCTGTGCTGGACAGAAATTAAACTGAGGGCAGAACTCACTGTGTAACCCTGGGCCTCAGTGTCCTCATCTGTGAAGTGGGCATAATAACAGCCTGTCTCAAGGAGCATGAGAAACAAATAACAGCGTCTGTGTTCAGGGCTCCAGTTATCATCACTGAGGTTCCAGCGGGGCTGGGAGGTGGGGGTGACTTGTCCACGAGCACTCAGCTAGCACAAAGCCTGGATTTAACCTAGGGTCTGCCTCCAAGCCTGCCTCCTAACCGTGAGGTTATCCCACCTCCCCACCAGGCTGCTCAGCCCAGGCCTGGCACAGCCTGGGCCCTTAGTTGGTGGTATTAAGTAGAACTAGAATAAACTGCTGACAATTGGCCATTTTTGGTCAAAATTGACCAATTTTGGCCTACAAAATTTCACGTGGTCCAAACTGATGCTAATTCATGATAAATGTAGGATGCAGTGGCCATGAATGAGAAAATAACCTGCAGGCTCGTCTCACACCACCACCAGTAGGGCCTGTTATTTGCCCATCTCACAGATGAGGAAAGTGAGGCCAGAGAGGCCAAACCATTCGCCCAGGCATTGCAGCCTGGCTACCTCCCCGCGTGGTGCCTGGGCCCAGCTCCCCTGCCACCACTGTCCCCAACAACCCTGCTCTCTAGACCCCAGGCCCCGGGCAGCCCCTGAAGCTCTCCCACCTCTCTGTTCCCAGCAGGACCCCGGAGGGCACAGCGCCCTGCTCCCCTGCCCCAGGTGAGCCAGAGACGGTGACGCCGGCCAATGGCTCGGCGGCAGGGTGCCAGCCGCGGCGCGACATCGTGTTCATGAAGACGCACAAGACGGCCAGCAGCACCCTGCTCAACATCCTCTTCCGCTTCGGCCAGAAGCACGGGCTCAAGTTCGCCTTCCCCAACGGCCGCAACGACTTCGACTACCCCGCCTTCTTCGCGCGCAGCCTGGTGCAGGACTACCGGCCCGGCGCCTGCTTCAACATCATTTGCAACCACATGCGCTTCCACTACGAGGAGGTGCGGGGCCTGGTGCCGCCCAACGCCACCTTCATCACCGTGCTCCGCGACCCCGCCCGTCTCTTCGAGTCCTCCTTCCACTACTTCGGGTCGGTGGTGCCCTTCACCTGGAAGCTCTCGAGCCAAGACAAGCTGGCCGAGTTCCTGCAGGACCCCGATCGCTACTATGACCCCAACGGCTACAACGCCCACTACCTCCGCAACCTGCTCTTTTTCGACCTGGGCTACGACAGCGGCCTGGACCCGGGCAGCCCGCAGGTGCAGGAGCACATCCTGGAGGTGGAGCGCCGCTTCCACCTGGTGCTCCTGCAGGAGTACTTCGACGAGTCGCTGGTGCTGCTCAAGGACCTGCTGTGCTGGGAGCTGGAGGACGTGCTCTACTTCAAGCTCAACGCCCGCCGCGACCCCGCGGGGCCGCGCCTCTCGGGCGAGCTGTACCGGCGCGCCACCGCCTGGAACGTGCTGGACGCCCGCCTCTACCGCCACTTCAACGCCAGCTTCTGGCGCAAGGTGGAGGCGTTCGGGCGCGAGCGCATGGCCCGCGAGGTGGCCACCCTGCGGCGCGCCAACGAGCGCATGCGGCGCATCTGCATCGACGGGGGCCGCGCCGTGGACGCCGCCGCCATCCAGGACTCGGCCATGCAGCCCTGGCAGCCGCTGGGCGCCAAGTCCATCCTGGGCTACAACCTCAAGAAGAGCATCGGGCGGCGGCACGCGCAGCTCTGTCGCCGCATGCTCACGCCCGAGATCCAGTACTTGATGGACCTCGGCGTCAACCTGTGGGTCACCAAGCTCTGGAAGTTCATCCGGGACTTTCTGCAGTGGTGACATCCCGCCCGCCCAGCGGGCCCCCTGCCTGCTCGCTCGCCCGCCGAGGAGGGGCCAGGCAGGGGCCCGCTGGCCTCCCCCGAGCCCCTCCTGGTGCCACCCTGGCCCCCCCCAGGGTGAGGTGGGGCTGCTGCAGGGACGGGCAGGCCAGGACTGGGCCCACAGCACACAGGGCCTGAGATCAGTATTTGACTAATTATAGCTTTTTTTTATTAAATCCCCTCCCCTCCAAAAAAGAATGTTCTATTTCCTGCCTCCCCTTAAAGGGGAGACTTCGGAAGTAAAGGAATTTGATGTTGTTTTTTTGTTAATCAGCCTCAGTGGTGCTGACTGGCGGGCTGGGCTGGGGGTGACTGATGGGGACTGGGACACCCCAAGAGAGCATGGTGGGCGCCTGTATGAGTGTGTCTGTGGGACAGAACCCAAGGGTGTGGCAGGGTTTGGTGTGCAGTTGTCACATACTGAAGCCCTGTGTAGTTGAAGGACCCTGTGAGCTACCAGGACCTGAAAGATCGTGTGTGTGTGTGATCATCCTAGGGTCTATACCAGTCGTTTATTGCAGTTGAACTCTGGTTATGTGCCTGGTACTAGACTAAGTACTTTGTGGGTGTTAGTTCATCTTTGTCAACACTCAGCAATGTGGGGACTGTTATTATCTCATGCTGGAGATAAGGAAGGGAGCTCCGAGAGGGAAAGTCACCTGGCCCGGGTCACACAGCAACTAAGTGGTAGGACGGGAGCAAGGGCCAGGGAGGGTAGAGTATGTGGCCAGATCACAATAGAGTACAAATGTGTATGTGTGTGTGCGTGTGTATAGATAGATATAAATGTGTGTGTGTGTGTGAGGGAAGTGGGAGTACTTGGTGGGGCATTGAGCAGCAGTCCCTGGGCCCAGGCTAAAGGTTCCTTGTGCAATCTCATTAATCCTCACGATAACCCTTTGAGGTAGGCACAATTACCATCCCATATTACAGATGTGCGAATTGACATTCTGAGAGCAGAAGGGACTTGCCTGAGGTCACATTGCAGGACGTATCAGACCAAGAGCTAAACCATCTCCCTGGGACCCCAAGCCCCTTCCATCTCCGGTGCCTGTTCACCCCCTCCCTGCCTGCCCTCTTCCCCCACTGACCCCTCCAGGCTGCCTCACCGTCTGCTTGTGCTCCAACCCTGCCCAGGCCCTGGGTCTCTTCCTTCCACCCTGGGATTCAGTTTAATTATCCAAAAAATATTTGGTATTCGTCAGATATCTGTTGTTCCCCCCAGCCCTGAGCTGATCCCGAGCATACAGCAGTCAGCGTGTCAGCCCAGGCCCTGTTGGAGCTCGTGGCCAGAGAGGAAGATAGTGGCCAAGCAAGCAAGGCACGTTGGGTATGACCAACCAGGGTAGGGATGCCTCAGCTCTAACCACCCACCTCCCTCAGCCTCCCCAGGGGGACAGGGGCCCTTTCTGGGGCAAGGACTCTTGGGTCTCTAACCAGGAGCCAGCAGCCAGATGTGAAACCAGAGCCAAGTGATTCTTTATTGGAGACCTGTTCGTGCCAGGCTCCAAGCCAAGTGCTCGCACACCTTAACTGAATATCTACAACATCTCAGCTTTATAAGCTAAAGTTCAGAGAGGTTAAGCGACCTACTCAAGGTCACATAGCTAATTAGTACCAGAGCCAGAATTTAAAGCTAGATCAGTCAGCTGTTAGCCTCTGCCCAGGCTTGAGTCAAACTTCCTCCTGAGAGAGAGCTTCTGGTCCAAGCAGGGGGAGCGGGAGTTGGGGGGACCAATTGTCTCAGTTTCCAGGGACTGTCCTGGTTTTGGCACTGAAAGTTCCCACATCCCAGGAAACTCCTCAGTCCCTGCCAACTAGGATGGTTGGTCAGCCTGGGGGAGGTTTGGCCCCACCAGCCCCCTGGAGCCACTGTCTGCGCCCTCATAATATTCTTTGAAGCAAGAAATAGGCACGTTCCTGAAGGCTTTATTTAGTTCATATGGAGAGAACTAGGTGAAAACAAGTAAATAAAACTGACAGTGGCTGACTATTCACAGGAAAAGATGTTACTGGTCTCAAATTCATAAGATAATCTCCCCTCCTTTTATTAGTCAAAGATACATGTGACAGTGCAATATGATAACATCCGGGGTTTGTGGAACCCCATAATTATATTTCCTGGGACCTTTGAGAGCCTAGAAATGCCAATAATGATATTGTTATATATTATTACATTATTTATTATTATTAATATTGGCACTTCTAGGCCCTTAGGGATCCAAGGAGAACAAATCTGGCAGATAGTTGATGCCAAGAATATAAATTACTTCATTAGCATTTACGATCTGCCTGGTTCATTTCAAGAGTGTTATAGTTATTAACTCATTTATTAACATAATTAATATTTTACTGATAAGTAGTTGCCAGGTACTGAGCCACGACTGTGCGCTCAGCTCTGTGCCATGCAGGACATGCACAATTCCCTTTGTTCCCCTGAGATGGCGACAGACACAGAGAGGCTCAGCCACCAGCCCAGGGTCACTCAGCCATAGAGGCAGGATGCAAACTCGGGTGAGTCAGATGCCAAGGCCGGTGCTCGTGACCTCCAGTCCTTCAGCGCCATTCCAGTCGGCCACCTCAGCCTCAGGACGGAGGTCTCTTCTATGGCTGAAAATGTATGAGGTTTCCAAGGGACTCTGCTGCTTGCCCTGCAGCAGCCAGATTGCCCTGGCTGTATCTGGGCAGCCGAGGGCTGACGATCCTGGCTGGGGCGCTGGGGGCACCCACGGTGATCGGGCGTCTGTCAGCCTGAGCTGTGAAAGCCAGGCGGGTCATGGCTGCCCCTGCGAGAAATTCAGTGCAATGACCTGTTCCTCTCTTTTATGGGTTGTGTTGTAAACCCTAAAAAATGTGTTGAAGTCCTAACCCTCCGTTCCCAGTGACTGACCCTATTTGGAAATAAGGTCTTTGTCCCTGTAATCAAGTTAAGATGAGGTCATTAGGGTGGGCCCTAATCCAATATGGCTGATATCCTTAGAAGACACGGAAATGCCACATGAAGCCAGGCAGCGAATGGCGTGATGCAGCCACAAGCTAAGGAACGCCAGGAACTGACGGCCCCCTCCAGAAGCTACAAAGAGGCAATGAAGGATGCTACCCTGAGTCTCGTAGGGAACGTGGCCCCACTGACGTCTTGATCTCAGACTTCTAGCCTACAGAACTGTGAAAGAATAAACTTCTGTTGTTTTAAACCACTCAGTTTGTGGTACTTTGTTACAGCAGCCCCAGGACACTTGCACACTCTCCATGCCCTGTCCCTGCCCTGGGTCGGGCCTCTGCCCCTCACCTGGCCCCCTTCCTCTCCTTCCTCTCCCAGGCTCACCCCTACCAGCCACCCTCCACCTGCAGCTGGGGGCCGTCCTCTGCTCCAAGCCCTGCATGGTCCCCGTCACCCCTGGGGAGAAGCTGAACGCCTCTGCGGCTTCGCCCATGCTGTTCCCTCTACTGTGAGGCCCCCTTCCCTTTGCAGGCCTAACATTGCTGCGTGTTTTCAAAGAAGCTTTGCCGCATCGTCTGGGCATCCTTCCCCGACAGCCCAGGCTGGTTTAGGGCCTCAGGGCTCCCCCATCTCAGCAGTGCTCACCCACGGCCAGAACTGTGGATTGGCTGGTCTGCAAGGCCCTGATGGCGGGCTCCTCCAGGACAGGGACTGGGTCTGACTGACACAATCGGCCTCCAGAGCCCAGGCCAATGCCTGGCACACAGTCGGTGCTTAATAAATGGTGAAAGACAGAGGAAAGGAAGAAAAGAAATAGGGAGGGAGAAAAGAAGGAAGGAAGAGAAGAAAGAAGGGAGGAAGGAGGAAGGAAGGGAGGGGCGAGAGAGAGGAGGCAGGGAGGGAGGCAGCAGCAAAGGGAGGGTGAGAGTAGGACAGGAGAGAAGCAGGTAGTTCCCCCACGATGGCCTTCCAGAGCGAACTTGCCCTACGTGACCCCTACGTGACCAGGCCCCTATTCTCAGGAATGGTATACATTAGCCAATGCACGCAAGTGCAGGAATGAGCTCATTAGGTGAAAACTCACGTGACACTGGGGTGGGACACAGGTCAGCGCGTTTTGACAGGGGTGGTTGGAGACAGGGAGCTGGGGAAGGCTTGCTCTGGAGAGTGGGCAGGCCCCTGGGCAGGCTAGGGACAACCTGGGGGCACCAGAGAGCGGTAGAGAAACTAAAAAAGCCGAGGTGGCCCTCCGCAGCTCCCCTTGCCATCACATCTTTGGTAAACTCTTATTGAGCACCTACTGTGTACAATGGGCCACGGCGGGTGCTGGGGTGGGAATATACAAAATGAAGCAGGCCCTCGAGGAGCTCAAGGTGTGGACCTGTGAGGTGCTCACAATAGCTGGGCAGATGGAAGATGACAGTGGGGTGTTAATGAGGGGAGACTCAGTTGCCAGCAAGTAAGACATATTAGAAAAGACCTTGCAGAAGTGGAGGCCTTTGAAATAGGCCGTGAGGGAGGCAGGGATTTCATACAGGGTGCTGCAAGGAAGGGCATTCGAGGGAGAGGGAACAGCATAAGAAGAGCTGGACACGGAATGGTGGAGAGGCAAGGGGCCCAGAATAAGGAGAGCAGGGGAAATCAGCTCGGGAAGGACCCCAAGGGCCTTGCGCTCCAGGCTAAGGGGTCTGCAGTTTCTCCGAAGGCAGCAAGGAGCTAACGGGGGCTTTGGAGCAGGGGTGGAACCTACTAGAGGCAGGCTTCCAGAAGATGGGCCTGAGGTGCTGGGGGAGGGGAGCCAGGGGGAAGGAGCAGGGGCTCTGGCTGGGAAAGGAGCAGGGAGGGGTGGTCTGCATTTGCCTCTTGTGGCTAAAGCTCTAGCCTGTGGGTCTGCGGGGTGCTGGGGAGGCTCCGTTCTGCGGGAGAGGCAGATCCACTCCAGCTAACCCTGTGCAAGGCCAAGGGGAGACCATCACGGGCTCGGTGAGGCTGCCCAGGTGTGTGCTCTGCCTGGTGCCAGGCACATGGATTACAGTGTCCTGAGTCAGCGGCAGGTTCAGGCAATCTTGATTGTCAACTACTCAACTGCTGCGCAGCCTCGGGCACTCCGCTCCCCTCTTCCAGGCTCTGATGAGGGGGAGGAACAGCCTGGGGCTAAGAGCATGTGAAAGCCTTTGGCCTAGAACCCAGCTGAAGCTGCTAGTTCCCTGACTGTATCCCTCAACCTCACCAGCTCCCAGCTGTAGCACCTGCCTTGCTCTGCCTGAGGCCTTCCTCCAGCCTCCAGAGCCCCGAACAGCCACCAGAGAGCCAGCAGAATCTGGGGCAGCCCTCAGCCGAACAGCCACCAGAGAGCCAGCAGAATCTGGGGCAGCCCTCAGCCAGACCGTGCGGAGCTGGGGTATAAATACCGCAGCTCCCTTGTCCCTCAGGCAGGAACTCTGAGGTGCGTGTTCCACGCTGTCTGCTGTTAGTCCCTCTGGGATGGAGCCCCTCCTTCCTTCCTTGGTTACTCTCCCTGCACAGCTGCCTCCCCTCCTCTGCCCCAGTTTCCCACTGCCCTGCTTGTGTTTCCTGGGATCACCTCCAGAATAAACTCTGCACTGGAGTCCTGGTCTCAGAGTCTGCCTCTGGGTGAATGAAGCTGAGACAAGCACCTACTGTGTGCTAGGCTCATGCACACAGCATCATCTCATGTGTCCTTGTCTTGGGCTCTGGTTTTCTGCTTGTCCAGGGGGTGGGAGGTGGGGCAGACTGTAGCCTGGAGTCCCCTGTCACCCCTACCCCCAGGCCAGGTGTGGCCCCTCAGGGGTGCACATCCTCCTGTTGGGTCTGGGCCTCAGAAATCTCTCCTCACCCTGAAGTCACGTGCCCTAACGCCTGTGATGAATCCAGGGCAGTTGCTCCAGACACACGGGGTGGTATTTGGAGCCTGGACATGTTGGGGCACAAGGACAGTGAGCTCCAGGTCTCTGTTCGGGGCGAGCAGTGGCCTGCCTGGCTCAAGGAGGCATCTGATGGAGTAGACGGTGGGCGACTGAGAGGCAGGGTGGAGAGCAGCCCCTGTGTGAGTGTGTGTGTGTGTGTGTGAGACAACAGGTGGTGTCACTTTCAACGCTGTGGGGCAAACACCACTGTCCTCAGTTTACAAATAGGATTTGAACCCAGGACAGTCAGTCCAGGGGCCAGTGCCTGGACACCAACAAGGATTGGGCCCCCACCAGTCACCCTGGGTGGGAGGGGGTGGGGCTTCTGGGCAGAGGTAGGTGTGGGTGGGGCTGCCAGCTGGGCAGAAGGAGGAGGCCTGGAAAGAGCCGCAGAACTGGGGCAAGTGGACCCCACCCCCACCACCGTGTGCACATGAGCAGACAAGTGGGCGACCGGAATCCATCGCGGGAGGAGATGCTGGCTCAGGTGAGTCAAGGGAGAGACCCCTACACTGGCCTCAGTTTCTCCTTCTGCCCCAGGAGAGGCAGCACCCAGGAGAGGCAGAGCTGGGTCTCTTCCCATCTCTGAGGGTCCTGGTGGCCCGAGGGGACACCCGTGCTATGCAGTACAAATATAACGCAACCCACAGATGCAAGCTACCTATGTCATTTCAAATTTTCTAGTAGCCACCTTAAAAAAGTAAAAAGGGAGATCAATTTTAATAATATATTTTATTTAACCCGCTATAGCCAAAGTATTACCATTTTAACATGTAATCAATGTTAAAATTGTGATTTAGATTTTTGTGTGTGTGAAGTCCTTGGAATCTGTGTGTATTTCATACTCACAGTGGATCTCAATTCAGACTAGCCACGTTTTAACCGCTAGTGGCTACCATGTCAGACAGTGCAGGTGAGGGCTGCTGGCCCAGTGGGGGAGGCTGGCATGGCAGGCCACGGCCCTACGTCGGGGAGGCAGGAGCAAGCCTGGGTTTTCCTCTCCAGCCTGTAAGGAGCTCCTTACAGGGTCCGAAGGCTCTTTCCTCGTGGTTGCACATTGCAAGTGTGGGCTCCAGGGAGATTCACCCACTTCCATGATCATGGAGGGAGCGACTGGGCCCTGGAGGCCCGGAGTCCTGCCCTCAAAGGGTTCTGCGTGTTCCCCCCAGGCCGGGAGTAAGTCCTCTTACGAGACAACTGGGGTCAAGATCTCCGCTGAGCAAGTCACATCACTAGTTCGAGCCTCAGTTTTCTCAGCTGGGGAACAGGTGTAATAGCAGTGTCGTATCAGGATTGATTTAATGCTTAGCCCAGAGCCAAACACTCCCTCGTGTTCCTTTTTTTTCATTTTTATTGCGGTGACGTTGGTTTACAACATTATATAAATTTCAGGTGTACATCTTTATATATTTCTATTTCTGTGTAGATTACACCATGTTCACCACCCAAAGACTAATTACCATCCATCACCACACATGTGCCTAGTCACCTCTTTTGCCCTCCCCTGACCCCCTTTCCCCTCTGGTAACCACCAGCCCAGTCTCTGTTTCTATGTGTTTGTCGTTGTTTTTATCATCTACTTATGAGTGAGATAACACAGTATTTGGCTTTTTCCTTTTGACTTATTTCACTCAGCATAACACCCTCAAGTTCCATCCATGTTGTCACAAATGGCCGGATTTCATCATTTCTTATGGCTGAGTAGTATTCCATTGTGTATACATACCACATCTTCTTTATCCATTCATCCCTTGATGGGCACCTGGGTTGCTTCCAAGTCTTGGCTATTGGGAATAATGCAGCAGTGAACATAGGGGTGCGTGTATGTTTACACATTTGTGTTTTCGTGTTCTTTGGATAAATACCCAGCAGTGCGATAGCTGGATCCTATGGTAGATCTATTCTTAATTTTCTGGGGATACTCCATACTGCTTTCCATAGTGGCTGCACCAGTTTGCACTCCCACCAGCAGTGTACAAGTGTTCCCTTCTCTCCACATCCTCTCCAACATTTGTTGTTTCCTGTCTTGTTAATTATAGCCATTCTGACCGGAGTGAGAGGATCTCTCACTGTGGTTTTGATTTGCATTTCCCTGATAGCTAATGATGCTGAGCATCTTTTCACGTGCCTGTAGGCCATCCGTATATCTTCTTTGGAGAAATGTCTGTTCAGATCTTGTGCTCATGTTTCAATCGGGTTGTTGGGTTTTTTTGTTGAAATGTATCCCTCATGTTCCTGAAGACAGAGGTTATCAGCTTGCTTGGGGTGGGGACCAGAGCCAGTCCTTTGAGCCCCCATCTGGAGGCTGAGGAGACCAAGAGACACACAGAGAGGGCAAGTGACTCAGGCTAGGCCACACTGGGACTGCCGACTCCTTGTCCAGTGCTCTTTCCTCCACCAGACTCATCGATATTGAAAAGGCTGGCTTTGGCCCACAGTCAGCGACATCCATGCAGGAGTGGCACCCTCAGCCCTTAGCCCTTCCAGGGTGGGCTGGGGGCCAGCCAAACTGCCCTGACCAACTCCTGGGGCCTGTCTGTGGAGGCTGCTCTCCCAGGCTGGGCCAAGCCACCCCTCACTTGGGCCTGAGATGATGGGCTCAGGATCAGATGCATGATTTGCCTCCCAGCTCTAACATTTGCTGGCTGTGTGATGCTGGGCAAATTGCTTAACCTCTCTGAGCCTCAGACTGCAGGTTGCTCACCCTCCCACGTGCGCTGGCCTGGAGGCTCTGTGAGGATGGAGATCAGAGTTCTGAATAGGCCCCCACCCCCTACAGGCCTGAGGGAAGAGTCAGGCTCACAAATCTCATTTAATCCACATTTCATCCTTTCTGAAGATTTGTGCGGCTGGCTCATTATTGTGTCATTTCCCAGAGGGAGAAAGGGAAGTGCTGTGATTTGACCCAGGCCTTGGCTCCCCCAGCACTGGAGGGCCCTCTCCACTCAGACGTCCCCTTTCCTAAGGGCAGGCGAGATCTTCAGGCCTGAGGGTGGCTAGCCAATCCCCTGATTGCAGGGGGAACTCTGGAGCCACTCTGACCCAGGTCTCTCCCCACTCTGTCCTTAGCTCTGGGAGAACATCCAGGATGTGCTATCCGTCCTGCCTAGCCCCGATGACTACTTCCTCCTATGCTGGCTCTGAGTGAGGATAGAGGGTAGAGTGGGATGAAGGCCAAGGGCACAAAAGAGGAGTGTATTGGGTATCTACTGCTGTGTAACAAATTACTCCAAAACATAGCCATTTAAAACAACCATAAACATTTATTATCTCCCAGTTTCTGTGGTCAGGAATTATGGCGTGGCGTAGCTGCCTGGTTCTGGCTCAGGGTCTCTTATGAGGCTCCAGTCAAGCTGTCAGTCAGGGCTGCACTCATCTGAAGGCTTGACTGGGGCTGGAGGACCTGCTCCTCAGATAGCTTATGTACCTGGCAAGTCAGTGCTAGCTGTTGGCAGGAGGTCTCAGTTCCTCCTCCAGAGGCCTGCTTGAGCGTCCTTACAACATGGCGGCTGGCTTCCCCGGAGCAAGTGGTCCAAGAGAGCGAGGAGGAAGCAGCAAGGTCTTTACAACCAAGCCTTGTAAGTCATATCTCGTCATTTCTGCAATATCCTGTTAGTTACACAGGTCAGCCCTGCTTACTGTGGGAGGGGACTAAACGAGGGCATGACTAAATGAGGATCTTTGGGGGCATCTTGGAGGTAGCTAGGAATAACAATAATAACTTCTGTCTTTTGAGCACTTATTCTGTGCCAGGCACTGGGTAAATCAATTTTTGTTTATTATTGTCTTTTTTTTTTTTTCGGCACAACAACCCAGTGAGGTAGGTCCTGTTATCAGCCGCATTTTGCCTTGGAGGAAACTGGCTCAGAGAGGTCAAAGCACTTGACTAAAGTCACTCTTCTCAGACAAAGAGTTTGGGGACGAGGATAGGGAAGAGGCTTGTTCTCTAGATAAATGTTGGTATCCCAGAAGTCGAATGCACGTGACAGGAGACCCCTTCTCCGCGGCCCTAGAATGTGGCTGCAGTTCCCACGCTCAGCCTCCTTCCCGACAGGGTCGGGCTGGGATTGATTTTGGCTGCTGTGAGGAAACCACTATAAAGCTGTGTTGATTATACACCTACCCCAACTATTGCAGCGTCCCCAGGAGTGCATCCCTGAATGTGCAGAGAGCCCAGGACATTTCACATGTGAGGAGCAGCCTTTGTAAACTTGCGAGGGCCACTTGCCTCTGTGCGGGGTGTGTAGTTTATATGTCACAACACTTTCCCAGCTCAAAGTCTTTGCTCAGGCCGTTCCCTCCACTCAGGATGCCCTTCGAACTGCCACCAAACCAGAAAAGAATCCGACTGGAGTCCCAAAGACCTGGTCTAATCCCACCTGTGCCTCTTACTAGCTGGATGGAACCTGGGGCAGGTGGGCCCCAAACTTTGGGCCTCAGTTTCCTCATCTGGTTATGGGGAAGTAGACTGTCTCCCTGGCCAAAGGAAGTCAGTGTAGGGACCAGTCCTGGAGTCCAAGTGAAACCACTCAGTTCTCGCCAGCCAGGGGCACTTAGCCCAAGTGCTGCTGAAGCAGGTCAGAAGCGAGCCGAGAGGGACAAGGCCAGCTCTGGGAGAGCCCGGCAATGGCCCGGGTAGCCAGGGCTGGCCTCGGGGCAAAGGACTGCGTTGACAGCCTACGGGCGACTGCCAGGTAGGACCTCACTCCCACTTGTTGGTAACACCGAGTGGGTATTTATCTGATTATAATATTAGGGCACATTTATCATAAAAAATCCGGAGAGTATAGAAACAGAAAAGTGCAAAAAGTTACAGAAATCCTCCATAATCCCACAACTACTGCGAGGTAACTTTACATATAATTTTTTTTAACCCAATCGAGCTTCTATATTATATACTGTTTTGTTCAGTGATAATTTCGGACAGAGTTCCTCAAGTCATTAAAAAATTTCTTCTTCTCTAGTGTAGTCGGAAGGCTGTGGAATGTTCCGGAGGGCTGACTCTATGCGGTTGATTGAAATGCCCTCCTCGGGCAGCCCTTTCTCCATTGGACAGAGCCGGCGCCATCTGCTCTGTGAAGCAGTTGAATTACAGATCTGAGGGTTGAAGAGTGGCCGGCGGTGGTGAAGAGCTCCATGGTTATACCATTTTTTAAAAAATTTAATTCTATAAGGAACATCTGAACATATCCTCACTGTAAAAAATTAAAACTTTACTGATAACATTGAAGCCTCCTGAACCCCCAAAAGTAACTGTTGTCACCAGTCTGTGTGTATCTTGCAGACTTTTTTCAACGCATTTGAATGTATACATGCAGAAATATATATGTAATATAAAGAATACAATAACACAGAAATGCCTAGAATACATGATTTAGTATACCTCCTCTGCTCTCACTGGCCTCCCCACTGGGGCTCTGGCTCTCCCTCGAACCCGACCCCACTCCCCAGTCCCTCTCTCTTGTGTGTCCAGGTGGTCAGGTTGTAAGATGCCAATGGCATCTGTGGCCGTGGCAGTGAAAGCAGCCCTGTCTGGTACCACGTTATCAGAGGCGAGGACCCCAAGGGCCTCCTCTCAGTGTCCAGCCAGGAGCTGCTCAGAGACGGGTTCCAGAGCTGTGAGCTGCTTCTGCAGGCGTGTGAGCCGCTGAGGCAGGAGGTGAGGCTACCTGGGGGCCCTCCGAGCCTACCGCCCTGGGCAGCCACAGCCCTGCCCCCTCCAAGGCTGCCCTCTGGCACTGGGCACTCTGCTGAGCATCACATCCAGAACCCACCTCCCTGAGCTCCTTTGCTCCTCCTAGCACAGAGGCGTGAACGCAGACTCAGAGAGGCCATCACCCCCAGCACACTCCCGCCTTGACTGGCCCAAAAGCCCGGCTCAACCCACTGGGCCACGCTGCCCTGTATGGCCTCATTGGATGGAAGGAGTCAGGTATTTCAGCCCCAGTGGACGGAGGAGGAAACTGAGGCACAGTGACTTGCCTTCCCATGGACAGACGTGGGGAGGGCGCCCCTTGAGATGGCCCCTTCTGGCACAAGATGAAACCTCCATGCCAGGCGGAGCTGGGGTAAGCCAGGCTAGTGCCACAAAATATTATACTAAAGAAGCCAGACACAAAAGGTCACATATAGTACTATTCCATTGATATGAAATGTCCAGAAGAAGCAAATTCAGAGAGACAGAAAGCAGATTAGTGGCTACCAGGGCCTGAAGGAAGGAAGAGTGGGGAGTGACAGCTAATGGGTACAGGGTTTCCTTTCAGGGTGATGAAAATCTTCTGGAACCAGATAGTGGTGATGGTTGCACAACTCTGTGAATATAATAAAAGCCACTGAATTGCACACTTTGAAAGGGTGACATTTCTGCTATATAGTTATATCTCTGTTTTAAAAGCCATGCTGTGCAACTTGGAATCTTTATTATGCAAAAAGAAAAGTTGGCGTCTTTCCCGAAGCTGAGCTACTGTCTAAACCACTTGGCAGGGAAACTTCCAGAGTCCTGAGTGGGATTTTTCTGGCCTGGAGTGGGTGGGGTCATCCCCCTGCAACCTGTCAAGAATCTACACTAGTTGCTTCAAGGAGGGTCTGTGACTAGGAACCAATAAACTGGAAAACGGCGGCTGCTTTGGCCTGGGTGGGTTCTGGGTGTGGGGCGCCTCCTGCATTGACACCTTGGATGGCTGGTGGCAGAGACCAGGGCTCGCCCTTGGGGGCCTGGAGGGTGAGGAAGGAGGGGACGCGGGAGCAGTATTTAGACACCTGTAGCTTGTGCATTGACATGAGTTTGGCTGCACAGTTTCTCACAGCACTTGAGGCAAATGACCCCGACATTTTGAAGAGTTTAATCGCGAGAGGTGAGGCAACCAGGATATGCACGTGTGGGGTGCAGGGGACGTGGAGGTGACAGGGTGGGATCTGAGACCCCAGAAGACCGTGGTGCCTCAGCAGCTCTGGGCCTGTTTCAGCCCCCAAGATGTGCCCCATGGCTTGCAACCTGGTCAAGTCGTGCTAGGTGAGGAGATGTGCGGGAAGGTGGTGATTCTGGGAGGTGAGTGGGCCACCTTGGGTCTCCTCTCCAGCCCAGAGCCTGAGCTGGAGGCTGCCCCTCTACAGACCTGACAGTGCCTGCATCCGAGGGCAGCTGGCTCTGGGACCCACCTAGTGTGGAGAACCCCACTGCTTTGTGGCATCAACTGTTGAGGCCAATGTGCCCACATGCCAAAAAGCAGAGGGGCCAAGGGGGATCTGAGAGACCCCCAGAGGCAGCACGAGTGAGGGACCCAAATTTGGGGTTGGGAGATGTGGATTTGAAGGTTGGCTTTGCCAGTTGTTAGCCACAAGTGGGCTGAGTAACTTACCCTGTCTGGGTCTCAGTTTCCTCATCTGTAAAATGGGGAGAATAACATCCAGGTTTTCCAAATTATACAACTGATACAGCTTGGAAATTTGGAAAATACAGAAATGTGTTAAGAAGGAGGAAAAAATCCTGTCACCCAGAGAACTACTGTTAATATTTACTGTCTCTTCAGAGAAATACATTAAAAAATAACTAAAAATGGGTTTATACCATATATATACCCCTTTGTAACCTACCTTATTCACTTATCATGTGATAAATATTTTCCCATTTTGGTAAAGTTCTGAATTTAGGTTGTTTGTAATATTCATAGCATTAGGAAGAAGTTAGTAGTGAAGATCTTTTTATTATTATTATTATTATTATTTTATTTATTTATTTATTTATTTATTTAGAGGAAGATTGGCCTTGAGCTAACTGCTGCCAATTCTCCTCTTTTTGCTGAGGAAGACTGGCCCTGAGCTAACATCCGTGCCCATCTTCCTCTACTTTATATGTGGGACGCCTGCCACAGCATGGCTTGCCAAGCGGTGCCATGTCCGCACCAGGATCCAAACCGGCGAACCCCGGGCCGCCAAAGCGGAACATGTGCACATAACCGCTGTACCACCAGGCTGGCCCCATGAAGCTCTTTATAAATAAATCTTTGTATACACCCACAATCTTTTCCATAGGATAAAATTCTAGAAATGGAGGTTTTTTCCTAAAGGAGAAGGCGTGTGTTGCGTCTTCTGATTCCTTTTATAGTGTAAGTGCTCCTCAAGGTCAGAATTTAACTCCACCAGCTGTGGATGAATGTGTCCATTTCCCCACATTCTTGCAACATTGGCCGTTAATAATTTAAAAGACTCTTGCCATCTTTTTAATGGAAAATATTTATTATGTTTTACATTGGATTTCTTTTATCACTGGCGAGATTAGAACTTTTTTATGCTAATTGGCTATTTTAATGTTTTGTTTGTTTAGTGCCTCCTGGTATCTCTTGCCCATTTTCTAGAAAAGTGTTTTTCTTTTTGATTTATAAGTGCTCTTTACATATTAAGCACATTGACCTTTTCTGTCATATCTGTGGCAAACATTTTCCTGAGTTGGTAGTTTGCCTGTTATCTTTGCTTTTTGACTTAGTGTTATGTTGTCACATTTGGGGGGCTTTACTTTTGAATTCTCTGTTGCTTTTATGCTTAACATACCCCATCCTAGGGTACACTGGATGTTCACCTCTCCTTTCCCCTACTTTGTTCCTGCAATGCCCTTATTCCTTTGTCTGTGGACCACCCTTGGCTATCTCAGAGCAGCTTGAGGGGGGGGAACTGAACACAAACTTGCCCCCCAGTTCTAAGGGTGCTGGAGCTCCAGGAGCTGAGGGCAAGAGTTGACTTCAGTGTCCAAGGGAAAGGGAAGCCCAGGTCTGACCCAGCCTGTCCTCACCCCTACCGAGATGGCCAATGTGCCGACACCTGGACAGACGAGGGCAGGGTACTGGGCCTGGAGAGGCAGCCCTGGGGGCAGGTCTGAGAGCAGAAACTGGTCGACACAGGAACATACGCTGAGTTCCAGGGCTACACCTAGAGCCTCTTGGCTTCCATCCCTGGGGGCTCCAGGAGGGGGAGCAGCAGGCCACAGGACAGCCCTGGGCTTGGCCCCCTCTGTGGAGCCTCCCTGAGCCCCCATGGAGGCCCCCTCTTGCTTCCACCATGACTGGAAGTAGGAGCTGCCAAAGTTCATCAGCCCTCACCAGCTGTACGTGGAGTTTGGGGGGACCATGACCGACCCTGACGGCAACCCCAAGTGGCTGACCAAGGTACAGTGTGCCCAGGGGATGGGGGGGGAGGGAGGGGAGACGGCCGTGGTCCAGTGCTCGCTCACCACCCCTCCCCCACAGATCAACTACAGGGGCGAGGTGCCCAGGAGCTACTACCTGCGCAACCAGGTGAGGACGCACACAGTACGAGAACACGGCGACTGTGGGCTGCGACTCCTACCTGCACGTGGAGACCCAGATCCTGTTCCTGGGCTGCATGCTCAGGTGAGGATGATCGCCACTCCACTCGTGGGCACAGCTGGGAGGGGCCTGGAGCCCAGGGAGGTGGTCGTCAGTGGGGCTCGGTCCCCTGCAAGTGGCAGTTCCCCGAAAACCAGGCAGGGAGAGCAGCAGCTAGCGGGGGAGATGACGGAGGTGCTGCCAGCTGGTGCCCACATGGTGCCCAAGGACAGAGGGCTCACCTGCCTCAAGGCTGGTGTCCGTAAGCGCTGGCAGAAAACAGCTCCACCTGGAGCTGGGTGTTGAGGGGCAGCTGCTTCGAAGTACATCCAGGTCCCGCCAGGCAGGTGGGGGCCTCTGGCTCCGGTAGGCACAGAGTATGGCTGGCTCTGGCCTCTCAGGTGTGGCACCAGCACCCTGGTCTGGGTGCTCACACAGGAATTTACCATCATGGAGGTCAGGTCCTGGGTGGGGCGTCCTGTCTGAACGTCTGTCCCTCAATGCTGACGTTCTGATGTTCAACCACACCTACAACCTGGTTCATTCCAAACGCATCAGCCACACTATGGAGGTGCTGCTCCCAGATCAAAACTTCGTGGAGAAGATGGAGACACTTGAGGCGAGCCTTGTGGCTCCCACACCATCCTCTGATCTCTGGGTCCACAGTGAGTTCACAGCCTTCCCTGGCCAGACCCCCCCCACCCCCAACCTCCCCAGGGATGAGGATCCTACAACAGCCAGTCCCAGCCCATCAGTCATAGTGGGTCTGCACCTTAGGAACTGCTGGGACAGTGTCCCTGTGGTGGCCGGATAACCACAGCAAAGCAACAGAAACACTCAATCCCCGTTATTACCTCCTGTGACCTCAAGTTCAGCAAAAACTATAGGCCTTTTTCTATGAACCAATATCAAGTCATGAATTACTGTTCTGAAATATACGGTGTTAATAGAAAATTTGAGGTACAGTAAGACCAACAGATCAGGAAATGATTTCCATTGAAAAGGTCATTTATTACTCACAGCTCCCAAGAGGAGGGAGCAAGCCATGCTCGGGGGTGGGCCACACAGGGAAGCACCAGGATTGGGCATGAGGTGGGGGGAGAGGGAGGAATTGCGGGCAGGAGACTTTATTATGGTTTCCACAGGAAGGAGTGGGTGAGGCAGGGTAAGCAGCTTTAGGATGGGCTGGTTTGAATAATTTCTGGGGCATTTGGGTTGTCCCGTGGTCTGGTACCCAGCCCTGAGGGGAATGGGGCGGGGGTATAGTGGCCCTGAGTGTGAGAGCCTGATCCAGGAGGTGGTTGGGATGTGAGATCTGAACTGGTTGCTTTGAATGTGAAAAGCACACTCCTGGGTGAATTGTTTTCCATCTCTAGGAACTGGCTATCCCCTGGAGAGGCAGTCCCTCCAGGGTCAGAAGGCCCCACGCTCGAAGTGTCAGAATACAGAAAACAGAAGTCAGGGCTCATAGAGCGGCCCAGGAAGCGGGTGTGCAATTGCTGCTCTGAATAGAAATTCAAGTTCGCATCTAGAAGAGCATTCGACTCTTGATTCTGTCTTCTACACGCACACTTTCCTTCCCAGTGTTAGGACATCTGAGAATATGTTCCCTGTCTGGGTCTCCAGCCAAGCTCCTGATTAAGATTTCAGACGCAGCCTTTCACTGTGCTGGCCTCAGGCCCCGCAGCCCCACTAGGATGACATGGTCCTCTGGTCAGCCCGCTGGGTCTGGCTGTGCTGTCAGCAGAGATTGTGCCTGAGCACCTCCCCATTTGCACACATTGCCCCAGCTTGCTGTCAATGCAGTAGCCCCACCTGACACTGACACTTTTGCCCTCATTGGCCACTTTGTGTTCAGCATGTCTTGATCTTGGTGAGCCCACACTGGCTCCCAGGACTCACTGCCTTCATTTTTAAGGGCTCGCCATCCACCCCTACTCAATAATCTACTCCAGAATTTTGATAGCAAGTTTATTCAACTCATTCCGAAATCCATCAGCTGGTTCCTCTCATCCTCCGTGATTCTGCCATGTTCTCCTGCCCAGATGGCACCAAGGAGATGACGGAGGTAGCTGGAGAAATGCCACATGAGCTGTAGCCCAGTGGGGCAGGGGAGGGCACCAGGGAGCCAAGGTGAGGACAGAGGGGTCTCCCTGGCTCTGGTCCCTTGGTCCCATGATCTGCTCCATCCCACTCACCACCCATCCACTTCCAACATCGCCTTCGCCACAGTCTACCTGGCAACAGGCTAAAGGCCAGAGCCACCGGCCAGATAATGGCAGTTCCACAGCTGGCTCCACCTGCCTCCTCTCCCCCTCCTACTGCTCAGAGCATCCACCCCAGGCTCACCCTGCCCTGCCCCAACCCTCTGTCTTTGCTCAAGTTGTCCCCCTCCTAGAAGGCCTGTCTTTCTCCTCTCTGTCCAGATTTTTCCTGCAGCAGGCAGGCTGAACCAGAGTTAGGGCATGTGCTTGGCCTGTGATTTATACCCGTGAGATTCTCCCTTTTTATTGTACAATTCTGGGAGCTCTCACAAACGTTCCTGTAGCCACCACCACAATCAGGGCACAGAGCACCTCCATCACTGCCCAAACTCCCTCCTGCTGCCCCTTTGTTGTCAAGCCCTCCCCCACCCCTAGCCCTGACACCTGCTGATCTGTTCTCCATCCCTACAGTTTTGACTCTTCCAGAATGCCCCATAAATGGAATCAGACAGGATGTAGCCTTTTGAGTCTGGCTTTCTCCACACGGCATAACGCCTCTGAGATGCATCCGTGTCATTGCATGTGTCAATGGTTGGTTCTTTTTTGTGGCTGAGTAGTATTCCACGGCATGGCTGTACCGCACTCAGCTTATTGGTTCCCCAGTTGAAGGCTAGTTGTGCTGTTTCCAGTTGGGGGCAATTACTAACAAAGCTGCTGTAAGCATTCGCGTACAGGTTTTTGTGTGGTCCTGTTTTCATTTCTCCAGGGTAAATACCCAGGAGCAGGATTGCTGCTGAGTCACGGGAAGGGTTTGTCTAATTTTATTGGAAACCGCCAAACTGCTTTGCAGAGAGGGGTAGAGCCGTTTGCGTTCCCACCAGCAGTGTATGAGCATTCCAGTTGCTCCACGTCCTTGCCTTGTTATCCTGTTACTTTGATGTCAGCCATTCTGATAGGTATGTGGTTGTCTCTCTTTGGGGTTTTAATTTACATTTTCCTAATGACTAGTCATGTTGAGCATCTTTGTGAACAGGGCATGCTCTGTGAGATGAGACAGACCCGAGTTCAAGTCCTGTTTCTGGCACTTACTGTGTGGTTTTGATCGGATCTCTCGGAGCCTCCATTTCCTTGCTGGCAAATGGGGAAGATAACGGTATATGCCTCATAGAGTCATTGCTGTAAAGATAAATGAGGATAAATGAGGTACACAGCGAGCACACAGGGAAAGGCAGCTGCTATTGGGAGCTAATAACCATGTTGGAACCTACCAGAGACCCACCCACACTGGACCCACACACCTGGCCCAGGCAGCTTCATCTCACCTGCTGAGCTCGCCCTGGCTGCCCCCCAGGCCCCTCTGTCAGCTCCTCCAGCTCTGATCTCCAGAGGTGCTCTGGGTCTGATGCTCCCCACCTGCTCCCCCAGCTGGCTTCTGGCTCCACTCCCAGCTTGGGCCAACCCCACCCCTGATCTTTTGCCTCAGTAACCCCTTTACACCTGCCCCCTAATTTGACCTTCCCTTTTGCCCTGTTGCTGGATTTTCTTCTCTTAATTTAGCAGACAGCTCAGAGCATCTGCTCTCCCCAGGCCGTGTGAGAGTCATCCCCCCCATCCCATCCTGCAGGGACCCCGGGGCCGGATCCGGGGCATGTGCCTTCTGTTCTCTGTGGTCTTTGTCCTGCCTATGCCAGTTCAGCGTCCATTGCATCCACTGCCATTAGTTTGTGAACTTCTATATCTTTCCATGGACTCTTTCCTTGGAGTGGTGAGTGCCCCTTCAGACCTGGGAGAGTCATCGTATTAAATGGTTTTGTATCCATCCCAGTTCAATAAACATCACGGAGAGGTAGCAAACGACAGCCGCCCACTGGAGCCCTGGACGTTGGGCATTGGGCCTGTAAACCGTCTCCAGCCCGCAGGACATCCCCTATTCTGAGGGTCAGCAGAGCCTCAGCTATGGCGGCAACGGTTCCAGCAGCAGGCCAGCAGCCCCTCGTGCAGTAAACATCCAGCTCAGTGGCACTTGCCTTCCTGCCACCCTGGCCAGGCCTGGGGGCACCCTCTCACCCCAAGTCTGCAAGATAACCCTACCCTGCAGCCACATCAGAGGCTGCTAGTGGACCTTAGGTACTGAGCGGGTGGGAGGGCTGAGATCCTGCTCTGGGAGCACAGATGGACCCTTGCCCCGGAGCTGGGTGGGCCCCTGGCCTAAAGACCTCTGTATGTAGCTGAGAAATTAGCAGTTCACACAGGAGCTCCCAACATTTCCCTCCCAGAGGTTTCCGCTGACAGCCTCCAGATCTGGGCCAGCGCACGGAATGGAGCAGCTGCCTATTAAACGAATGAGTGAATGAATGAGTGAGTCAGTGATGCCAAATTCCTCCTCCTCTGCTGAGTGTAGGGCTCTGATGAATTGCTGGGATACTCTGCTAAGAGGTTCGTCTTTGTCACCACAACCCTAGGGTCCCCTGTTTGACCCACAGTCGCCTGGGCCTGGGGCTCAGGCTGGCAGCCAGGAGCAGCCTCTGTGAGAGGGAGCCGCTCACATCTTGCAGCCCGAACACAGCAGGTGGCAGATCCCAGACCAGCCCCATCACCAGAGCAGGGGAGACGTGGTGTGGCTCAGCCCACAGGGCTCTCCTGGGGCCCCGAAGCTCATTCCACGGCTCCTGCCTCCTCTAACAGGTCCCTTCCAGCCCCTTGTCTCTCCCTTTCCCTCCTCAACCCTGGCCCACACCTGGGCCTAACCCTGTATTCCAAGGCCCCTTTCTTCCTGTCTCTGTGCCTCATCACTGAGTGTGTCCTGTCCAGAGGTGCTGGCCAGGCCCCTCAGGGTCTATGTGCTGACACTGTCCCAGCCGGGTGACCTGGGGTAGGGGGAGACAGGGACTCCGAAGTCCCGGGCTCTTTGTCTGCGCTTTTGCCTTCGAAAAAAAATTGCATTCCTCAAAAGTTAAACATAGAATTGCCACAGGATCCAACAATTCTACTCCAAGGTACATACCCAAAAGAATTGAAAACAGGGATTCAAGCAAAACTTGTACACCAGTGTTCATAGCAGCACTATTCATAACCGCCAAAAGGTGAGAACAACCCAAGAGTCCATCAACAGATGAGTGGATCAACACGATGTGGTTTATCCACATGTTAGAATATTATTCACCCATGAAAAGGAATGAAGAACTGATACAGGTTACCACGTGGATGAACCTTGAGCACATTATGCTAAGTGAACGAAGCCAGACTCAGAAGGTCACATATTGTATGACACCTTTTGTATAAATTATCCAGGACAGATAAATCCATAGCGGCAGAAAGCAGAATGGTGACTGCGAGAGGCTGAGGGCAGGGAGATAGACTGCCTAATGAGGGGGTCTCCTTCAGGTGATGAAAATGTTTTGGAACTAGGTAGAGGTCATGGTTGCACAATGTTGTGAAAGTGCTAAATGCCACTGGATGGTACATTTTAAAATGGTGAATTTTATGTTATGTGAATTTTACCCCAATATGAAATTTTTTAAAATAACATTTATGGATTCCTTGACTCCCAGAATAAAAGTAATACACGCGCAAAGAAATAAAATCCACGGAGAAATATGAGTTGGCGACATAGTCATGGAAAATAAAGAACTACACAAGGAACAGAAGGACTGACCAACGTTATAAAGGGATGCTTTATAAACAGGGAGGAAGGGGCTCCAAGAATGAACCAGGAGCCGCACACAATAACCAAGAAAAAGGATGCGTCAATAGTGTGTTCCAAGACTGTGCTGTCCACTGCAGTGGGCATTGGCCACTATTTAAATGTAAATAACTAAAATTTGAAAGTTCAGTTCTTCTGTCCATTAACCACATTACAAATGCTCAAAAGCCACATGTGGTCAGGGGCTACTGGCAAAGACTCCTTGACCAAACTTCAGAGGGCTTCTAGCATTTATCCCCATGTCCCTAGGATGACCTAGACCCCCTTAAAATGACCCTAAGAAAGCTTGCAATTACAAGTCCTTTCTCTGTCCCTTTGAGATGGAAATCTTCTACCACGCAAAGCTGTCTCCTCAAGGACCTGAGGGCTGTCTCTGAAATTCCAGCACTCAAGGCCATCACTTCAGCTCTCACTCCCGATTCCATGGGAGGGTGAGGGCTCACCTTCCGTGGGCACCTTGCTCCCATTTGCACCACTAACTACCTCCTGTCATAAAAATACAAGAAGTTTGTGTTTCTTCCAGATAAGTGGCAATTAGCAAAGCCAGACGGCCTCCTCACACGGACCAACGCCCTGTAAGGCCATTCGGGCCCTTCCTTTAGCACATCCCAGCATTTAAACCAGCTCCTGCCTTTTGTTTCAGGGAATTGAGTTCACTTCACACCTGGCTGTCTTCCCTATTGCAGTAGTGATTACCGAATAAAATCCGTCTTTGTCGCCTTTCACTGGTGTTCAGCTTTGTTTATCTTTGACCCCACCAAATTGGACTGGGTAGATGTAGGCTGTGTCCATCACTGTGGAAAGTTCTACTGGACAGTGCTGTGCAACGTGATGACATCATCAGATCTTCCAAAGAGAGGCCACTTGAGCCAGACTGGTCCTTCATCTCCTGGAGATGATGCCTCCAAAGAGCCCGTCAATGAGGCAGAATATTGAACAAGCATGTCAGACCAACGATGCCTAGTAATATAAAGCAGAAAGAGAGGTTTTGGACAAGGCATGGGGCATTTTGTCATAAACAAACAAACAAACCAACCCTGCACGAAAGGTGTGAACTTTAAAAAAGTCTGATTGAAGTAACAAATGAGGCTTAACTAAAAACCATAAATTCTGCCTGAGAACCACCAGTCAGGCTCTAATCAAGTTGGGAGAAGGCCCCAGCTCCACGCCCCCCACTCCAGAGCTAACTGG